CACTATTGCACCAATAGGGATAGTTGCTGGGCTGACCATTGTGGTTTGTAGAATCTACAGCTGGGTGGGATCATTGATTTCTTTTCTTACTTGGCAGCATACACAGTATATTCTTATTCTATGAGAGTTGGTCTTCAGGGAGGAGGCTTCCAGATCAATTCCAGCTCATGACTCCAAGTCCTGTGTCTGAAGTATGCCTGTGTCTTCAGCAATAAGGTCTTACCTTAAAGTTCTGGGAGGCTATCAAGGGCTGTGGCCAATGTATTATTTGGAGAGTCTTTTGGACTGCTCTGACCAACAACTTGAAGTTTCCAATTCCTGCCATTGTAGTTTTTGTTATATAGCCTTCAGCTACATACATTCACTCAGGTTTATGTTTTTTGTGTATTTTTCAGTAGGCTTGTTGAATACTACATTTCCCTTTAGTCTTTCATACCACCTAAGCATTACTTATCTCCCTTCCCCCATCTCATTCTCTCTGTCTCCTCTGTCCCTCTCTTTCTGTTTCTCTCTGTCTCTTTCTCTCTCCTCTCTCTCCCTGTATAGACCTCCTTCCTCTGTGTCCAGTTAATGTACCTCCCATTGCCCTCCTTCCCCCTTTAATAATACCTATCTCCTACTATCCTCCTCTCTCAAGCTCCTCCTTCCCCTCTCCTCCCATGTTCCTTTCCACTTTTCTGGCTCCTGTGGTTACATCAATGTATATACTCATATCTCAGTATTTGGAGCTAGGATCCACAAACAAAAGACAGTGCACATTGATTCTTTTTCTGAGCCTAGGCTCCCTCACTTAGCATAACAGTTTCTAGTTCCATCCATTTACCTGCAAATTTCATGAATTCTTTTTTCTTTCCTGCTGATAGAGCTCCATTGTGTAAATGTACCACATTTTCCTTATACATTAATCAGTTGAGGGACATTTAGTTGGTTTCCATTTTCTAGCTATTGTGAAAAGAGCATCAATAAACACAGCTGATTAAGCATCTCTGTAGTAGGATATATGGTCCTTTATGCATATGCTGAGGACTCATGTAACTGGATCATATGGTTGGGAGATCTAGTTTTAGCTTTTAAATTCTCCACACTGATTTCCATAGTGGCTGTACCAGTTTATAATCCCACCAGCAGTGACTGTGAGTTCCCTTTCCCCACATCCTCACCAATATTTGTAGCCATTTGTTTTCTTGATCTTAGCCATTTTGACTAGGGTAAGATGAAATATTAAAGTAGTTTTAATTTGCATCCTCTAATTACTAAAGATGTTTGTCACATTTTAAGGTATTTCTTAGCCACTTGTATTTCTCCTTTTGAGAACTCTTTGCTGCGATCCATAGCTCATCTTTTAATTGGGTCATTTCTCTTCTTGATTCTTTTTATTTATTTATTTTTGTTCTCTTTATTTTCTGGGTATTAATCCTCTGTCAGATGTGTTGCTGGTAAAGATTTTCTCCCTCTCTGTGGGCTTCCTCTTCATTCCATTTGCTGTTTCCTTTGCTGTACAGAAGCTTTTTAGTTTAATGAGGGCCCATTTGTCAATTGTTGTCTTTAATTCCTGAGTAAATATAGTCCAATTTAGAAAGTCCTTCCTAGACCTATATCTTGTAGGATACTGCCTGTGTTTTCTTCCAATAGTTTCAACATTTCAGGTCTCACGTTGAGGTCTTTGATCCACTTGGCACTTATTTTTGTACAGGGTGATAAATATGAGACTAATTTCATTCTTCTACATGTAGAGATCCAGTTTTTCCAGCACTGTTTGTTCAAGATGCCATCATTCCTCCAGGGGGCATTCTTGGCACCTTTGTCAAATATCAGGTGACTGTAGTTGCATGCAACCATATTTGGGTCTTTTATTTTGTTCCATTGATCTAAATGTTTGTTTTGTGCCAGTACTATCCTGTTTTTATGGCTATAGCTCTGTAATATAGTTTGAAATGTGTTATAGGATTCCCTCCAGCGTTGTTCTTTTTTCTCAGGGTTGTTTTGGCTATCTGAGGTCTTTTGTGGTTTCACATGGATTCTAGGATTATTTTTTTTTAATTCCGTGAAAAATGTCATAGGGGTTTTTAATGGGATTGCATTGAATCTGTAAATTGCTTCTGATAGGATGGTATCTCCCAGTACTGATTCTACAACTCCATGAACATGGGAGCTCTTTGCCTCTTCTAGTGTCTGCTTCAATTTTCTTCTTCAAGGTTTTCATTGTAGAGAACTTAAACATCTTCATTCAGTTTTATTCCGGATTCTTCTTGAGGCTGTTGTGAATGGAAGTGTTTCTATAAACTCTTTCTCCACCTGCTTGTTATTGGTATATGAAAAGACCAGTGACTTTTGTATACTGATTTTGTATCCTGCCACTTTGCTGAAACTATTGATCATTTCTAGAAGTTTTCTGGTGGAATTTTGGGGATATTGTATGTACAATATCGTTTCTATAAATAGGGATAATTTGACCTCTTTTTTCTAATTAGTACCTGTGTAATTTCCTTATCTTGTCTTACTGCTTTACCTAGGGTTTCAAGTACTATATTGAAAAAGAGTGGGGATAGTGGACATCCTTGTCTGGCATCTGATTTTAATGGGAATTCTTTGCGTTTCTCTCCACTTTGAATGATATGGTCTGTGGGTTTGTCATATAAAGCCTTTTTTATGTTGAAGTATGTTTCCTCCAGTCCAATTCCCTCTAGGACTTTTTTCATGAATGTGTTCCAATGATTTTGTCAATGGCCTTTTCTGCATCTATTGAGATGATCATGTGGTTTTTGCCTTTAAGTCCACTTACATGATTTATTATGTCTATTGATGTATGTATATTCAATCATCCCTATATATCTGAATTAAAGCTAACTTGATCATCATGGATGCTTTTTGATATGTGCCTGTATGTGGTTTGCAAGTATTTTTGAGAATATCTACATCTATCTTCATTAGGGATGTTGACCTGTAGTTTTCTTTTTTGTTGTAGTTGTGCCTTTACCTGGTTTTGATATTAGAGTAATACTGGCTTCGAAGAAGGAGTTTGGGAATTTTCCCTTTGTTTGTATCTTTTTGAATAAGTTAAGCAGTATCAGTTGTAGTTCTTTGAAAGCCTGGGAAAATTCTTCTGTAAATCCATCTGGGCCTGGGCTTTTTTAGTTGAGAGGCTTTGTACTATTATTGTTTTAATCTCCTTATTTGTTTTGGGCCATTTGAGTTGTTTATCTCTTCTTGGTTTAACTTTGATGATTTGATTGAATCTAGAGATTCATTCACTTCTTTCAGATTTTCTAATTTAATAGAGTATAGGTATTTAAATTTTATTTATTATTTTTATATGTATGTATGTATTGCCTGCATGTGGGTAAGTGCACCCGTGTCATGCAGTGCTCTCAGAGGACAGAAGAGGCTGTCGGATCCCTGGGACTGGAGTTATGGACAGTTGTTAGCTGCCATGTGGGTACTGGGATTCAAACCCAGGTCTTCTGAAAGAACAGCCAGTGTTCTTAACCTCTGAGCCATCTCTCCAGCCCCAGAGTATAGGTTTTTAAAGTATCCCCTATTAATGTTCTGGATTACTTTAACATTGCAATGTTTCCCTTTTAATCTCTATTTTTGTTGATTTGTGTTTGCTTTTTCTTTCTTTTGGCTAGCTGAGCTAAAGTTCTGTCTATCCTTTTTATCTTTTTAGAAGAACCAGCACTTAGATTCATTGATTCTATCTATTGCTTTCTTTGTTTCTATTTCATTGATTTCTTCTCTGATTTTTATTATTTCCTTTTGTCTTTTGGGTTTGGAGTTTGGTTTCTTCTTGTTTTTGCAGCTTTTTGAGTTGTATTATTTATTTGTGCTTGTTTGATTTTTTAATGCAGGTGCTTAGAGCTATAACCTTTCTTCTCTAATCAATGTGTCCTAGTGGTTTTTTTGTGTCATGTTTTCATTTTCCTTTGATTTCAGGAATATTTTTGTCTCTTGATCTTTTTCTTTGACCTATTCATTATTCAGGACTGTGTTGTTTAATCTCCATGAGTTTGTGTAGTTACTAGAGCTTCTTTTACTGTTGATTTTAAACTTTATTGCAGGTGGTCCATTTGAATACATGGGATTGTTTCATTTTTAAAAATCTGTTGAGGTTTATTTTGTTTTGTGGTCTATTTCAGAGAAACTTCTACAGACTTCTTAGTAGAATGTGTGTTTTTTTGGTGCTTGGGTAGAATATTCTGTAGATGTGTTAGGCCCATTTGATGTATGATAGCATTTATTCCAGATGTTTCTTTGCTTATTTGTCCAGATGAACCTGTCTATTGAGGAAAGTGGGGTATTGAAATCACCTATTATTACTGAGTTGGGGTTGATCTGTATCCTGAAATTCAGCAGTAGTCTTTTTTTATGAAATTGGGTGTACCAGAGTTTGTTGCATTTATGTTTATGATTGTAATATCTTCTAGGTTGAATGTTCCTTTGGTCAGAATGAAGTGACTTTCTTTATTTTTTTCTGGTTAAGTTTACTTTTAAGTCTATTTTTTCAGGTATTAGGATAGCAATGCCTCATTATTTCTTGGTCAGATTTGCTTGGAATATTTTGTTCCATCCTTTCACTCTAAGGTTATATCTCTCTTTGAAGGCAAAATGAGTTTCTAATAGACCAAAAAAAGATGGCTATTGTTTCTTAATCCATTCAACTAGCCTGTCTTTTGACAGGGAGTTGAGACATTACTGTTTAAAGTTATTATTGAAAGGTTCATTCGTTATTGTAATTTTATGTTGTTTGTGTTCTTAGTCCTATTTTTTGTTTCCATAATTATAGTTTCATTTGTTTTCTTCCCCTAGCCTCTTGGGTATGGTTATTTATTTCTTCAGTCCTTTGTATTGCATCAAGTAGTCTCTGTAAGGATGGTTTAGTGGACACACATTCTTTCAGCCTATGTATATCATGAAATATTTTTCTTTCTCCTTTGACCTTGAGGGACAGTTTTGCTTGGTAAAGTAGTCTGGGTTGGCATCTGTCATTATTTAGAACTTGAGGAAATAGGTAACACTTTATGAATTTGTGTGTAATACTTGTGCAGCAGCCATGCTAATCTTCTCTATTATTCCAGTTTTAGTATATGTTTTGCTGAAGCAGGCACTACTTATTATTTTTTTATATTTTTATTTATTATTTTTATTTTATGCATATGAGTGTATTGCCTGCATGTATGTGAGTGTACCTGTGTCATGCAATGCTGCAGAGATCAGAAGAGGGCTTCAGATTCCTCTGGAACTGGAGTTAAGGATGGTTCATAGCCATCATGCAGGTGCTGGCAATCGAACCCGGGTCCTCTGCAAGAGCAGTCAGTACTCTTAACTGCTGAGCCATCTCTCCAGCCCCACTAACTGTTAGTTTTAATAATTTTATTTTTTGAACTTTCATACATGAATATTTTATTTGCATCATTTCCACACCCCTCCCAACCCCCTCCAACTCCTCTCATAACCTCCCATCTGGATTTCTTGTCCTCTTAATCATTATTGTTAAACACATATGCATTTATACACACATATAAATATATATGTATGTATAATGCATTGAATCCATTGGTGGTCCATTGTTTGTACATGTGTTTAGGATTAGCCACTGGGATTAGATAACCTATCAGGAAGTTCATCCCTGAAGAAATCTAATTGTCCCTCCCTCACTGTCTGTGGCTGTCTTTAGCTCTTCATCTAGAGGTGGGACCCTGTGAAATCTCCCCCCTCCACACTGGCATATCAGCTGGTGTTGCCATTATGCAGATACTGTTAGGCTACATACTGTGGAGACTTCAGGGTGCAGCCTCCCTCTCAGGTCTAGGATACCGTATCTAGCAGCGTGCATCCTGCTCTCCGGGCTCTTACACTCTTTCTTCCCCCTCTTCTGTGATGTTCTCTGAGCCTTGGGTGTAGGGGTTGCTTTGCAGACGTATGAGCTGGGACAGGTGCCACACAGGTTGCTTACTGTCTGTATTTTGGCAGTTGTGGAACTTTGCATTTGTCTCCATCTGTTGAAAAAAAAAAAAAGCTTCTTTGATAAGTGGCCAAATCTCCCAAGAAAGTACCTGACAAGTCTATGGCTTGAATATCAATTTCCTTCCAAACTCATGCTCATATTTGGTTGTCATTTTAATAGTTTGATGAGAATTGAGATTAGGCCATGAAGAATCTGCCTTTTCATGAATGGATTCATGCAGTTATCACAGGAGTAGATTTGTTATTACAAGAGTTGGATGGGATCCTTATAAAGGGCCAATTTGTCCCTGTTTGCCTCTCACCCTCTCTTTGTCCTTCCACTGTGAATTACATAGCAAGAAGGCCTCTCTGTGTTGGGCTTCCCATCCTCTGAAAATGTCTGCTGCTAGCCCTAACACTGTACCCAATAGTTTCACACAGTCCCTTTCTTTGACTTAGATATTTAAGATGTTTTCCAGTTGCAGCATGGTAGTTGCACACATGAACTCATGGTACTCACGGTGGTTATGAAAGCATGCACAAAGACCTGCTTAGGCGCAAGCCAGAAAAACTCCCAGCCTGGAGGAGAGGTGGGCACGAAGCCCCAGCCCTGGCTGAGGAGCCGTTGGCAATGGATAGTTGCTGGGGAGGGAGAGTTGGTTTTCTCTAAGAGTGTGACTGCTGGTTGTTAGACTACGCCTCAGGAGATTGCCCTGTACCCAAGAATATTTGGGCAGAACAAGTTGGACTCAATCGACTTTATAAAGGAGACATGAAGTTGGGTAGGTAGGCAAGGGGGTGGATCTGGGAGGAGTTGGGGGATGAATATGATCAAAATATATTGTATGAAATTCTCAAAGATTTAATAAGAATATCATTAAAAATTGTTAGAATTAGTCTTACTTCCAAGTCCTTCTTAATATTTACATTACTGCAGAAACTCTGAATGAATTTCCTTGATGATTTATTGGCAATAAATCACAATCATTCAGTGATATGTTTTATATTTTTGAAAAGTTTTCAGCTAGTTCTGTTTCTTGATCAACATCCACCCTGTTTAAGAATTTTATCTTACACTTTTTTGCTCAGCTTCTGAACTATCCCAGAATTTTTTAAGGTAAGCTTTGAGTAAGTATTAGTGGTGTTAAACAGTAATCTGATGTTACAATCTATTTATTTCTTAATTCAGCTTAGGTTTAGAAATGCTTAGAGTTGATGCTAGAGACCGTTTTTACCCTGTCTCCCAAACCCACTTTCCCAGCGTTGTGTAAATGAGGAGACTACGGTCATTGTGAATGCTCAGGATAACACAGCTCATTAGTGGAGGCATGAGAACACGAGTTTTCAGTTCAGTGCTTTTTATGGTACAAAGTGCTGCCTCCAGTCATCTAACGGGGTCAGGAGGAAATGGGACATAAAATAGGTAAGTTCTGAAAGGAAGAAAGTACCAAGAAATGCTGGGAGAGGGAGATGGAATGCAGGGCTGGGGAAGGGGAAACTACCAGAGATCATGATGGAATATAAGGGCAACGGAAACAAAAAGGAAACAGGGCACTGATTTCCAGAGATGAACAGGTAAGTTTCATCTAAGTTTGCTCTTACTGAGGGCTGGGCCGGCTGTGGCCGACAGCATGTTCCAAAAATGGCTGCAACAGCATCAGATGTCCCACAGGCCCTTCTTTTAAAAATCTTTTTTAAAATTGCATTTATTTATTCGTGTGTGTGTGTGTGTATGTGTGTGTGCACGCACGCGTGTATACATGTGCTACGGTTTGCATGTGGAGGTTAGAGGATAACTTAGGTTGTTAGGCATGGTAGCAAACACAATTACTCACTAAACTGTCTGATGATTGGCTTTAACGTCAACTTGCCACAAATTAGAATCACCTGAACGGGAGCCTCAACTGAGGAATTTTTCCCATTGTCTTAATCAGTATGGGAAGACACACCCCAAAAGCGAGTGGCACCTTCTGCTAGCAACTCAGATAAAAAGGGCAATTCAGTCTCCTGTCCTCTGCACCTTGACCAGTTGTAGGTCCCTGTTCTAATCACCATATCCTGATAAAACAAGTTTCTCTGATGAAGGCTGAGGGATGCACTAATCTATGGGCATAAGAATAAACCATTAGTTTAATACTAATAAACTAATAAATCATTTAGCAAAATAATAGTGTAATATGTCCCCTAGGGCCTGTGACCTGTCTAGCCAGAGTCTTGGCCCCGATAATAGAATGGATTTCATCTTGTGGGGTGGGCCTTAAATCTAATCAGAAAGTGCTTGGTTACCCCCATGACAGTTGTGTCATTATTTCACCAGTTGCCATATCTTGCCAGGCTGATCATTATTGTAGCTCTCAGGGTTTACAGCTGGTTAAGGCTGATGATTACTTTTCTCCTGCAGGGCATACTTTCCAGCACTAAGAAAGCTAGCAATCAGAAAGTGCTTGGTTACCCCCATGACAGTTGTGTCATTATTTCACCAGGCTGATCATTATTGTAGCTCTCAGGGTTTACAGCTGGATAAGGCTGATGATTACCTTTCTCCTGCAGGGCATACTTTCCAGCACTAAGAAAGCTAGATAGCAGGTATGAAGCTTCTATGTCAGTACCAGCTTGATTTCTCCATGTTCTATGACTCCAGTATGTGGTGTGTGGGACACCCATATCACAGCCCCTTCTCCCAAGGTTCAGGGATCATTGCATCCAAAAGAGGATGCAGAAGGATTGTAAAAGCCAGAGATGTTAGGTGACAACAAAACCTTGTTTTCTGGACACGACAGGGAAGCTGCACCTAGGGACTGGCAGTGGTTGTGACAATATTCACAAGACCTGTGTAAGCTCAAGGCAGACAAAAATCCCAGCATGGAGAGGTGCTGTGGGCACAATGTCCCACCCTTAACTGAGGAGCTATTGGTAATTGATAGCTGCCGGGAGAGGGAGAGTCAGTTTTCTTTAAGGGTGTGTCCTCTGGTGTGTTGACCACACTCTAGCGGACAGCTACACACTCCAGAGTATATAAGTGATACAAACTGGACTTGATGGGTAAAGAAAAAGGAGGATACAAAGTTAGCTGGGTAGGGAAGGGGGTTGGACCTGAGAGGAGTTGGGGGATGGGGACTGGATATAATCAAAGTACACTGGATGAATTTTCAACTATTTTTTTTAAAGGGCATGAAAGAAGGAAGATCATCACCTATTGCTCATGGACCTGAGAGGAGTTGGGGGATGGGGACTGGATATAATCAAAGTACACTGATGAATTTTCAACTATTTTTTTAAAGGGAATGAAAGAAGGAAGATCATCACCTATTGCTCGCTGGCCTCTCTTGCCTCCGAGTTGATTAACTCTGTTGTTGGTGCTGCTGATTCCTTCACTGATGTCAGAACCAGCATTTTCAGGCTCCTATTGCTCTCTAAGGACCAGGGGCTCCCCAGGAACCCTCTAGGTTTTCTGTGCCAGATTGGCATGCTGGATCGGCACCCAATTAGCGTTTAGGTTTTCCGTACCAGATTGGCACCCAGACTCATGGACTGAACAATTGCCAGGTTGTTGGCTCTCCAGTGTGAGATGCCCACTGTGGGAGTATTCTGACTGCTGACTGCTGAGGCACCTGGACTAAGGACTGGGCAAGTACTGGGTTCTCAGCCTCTTAGATGTGAGACAACTGTTGTTAATATTTCAACATAAGCTGATTTAATAGATTCCTTGTGCGTATACACATACTCATCCTATTGGTTCTGTTGCTTTAGAGAACCCCAACTAACAGCCATCTTGCTGACCCTCATAGACTGTTCATGAGCATGGCCTTATCATGCCCCCAGAAAGAGGTAGTGTGTATTTTCTCCCTTGGCTCTGAACGGACTTATGACTTTCTGGTGATTAGCAGAATGCAGCTTAAGAGAGATTGTGATTTGTAAAGTTAAGTTCAGAAAGTCCATACAGCTTTTCTCTGTTTTCTTGGAATGTTTGCTTCTGGGAATGAAAATGGGGCAGCCCACTGCCATATAATTCCGGTCACTCTGAGATCACCACGCTGGACAACCCACATGGAGCCTCTCAGTGGCATTTCCCAACTGCACCCAGGTTTTGAAGCATTGTCACAATATAAAATTACTCTCATGAAATGTCAGAGGAAAGCTACTTTGTACTTTAAAAAGGA